CCCTTCTCCCTCCCTCTCTTCCTCCTCCCTCCCCTCCTTTCAGTCTCTCTCTCCCTCTCCTCAGCACCGCGGCTACCGAAGGCACAAATTTTGCGGAAGGCAGGCCCACCAAACGAAAACAAAACCAGCTCCGGGCCTGGCAACGGGCGCGAAGCTCACACACCCTCCCCCGCCGCGCCTTCTCTTTCCCTCCCCCGCCGGCCTAAGACAAAGTGGGAATCGCGGCTAATTTAAAGGTGGGTTTGTGTGCGAGCGAGCCAGCCGCCGCTTCTCCCCCGCCGACCAGAGGCGAAGGCTTTGAAGGTAGCCAGTTCCTTGTCAATAAGCGCCTTTTGTCTCTAAGCCATATATTCAGATGGGGAAAGCATGGCTCGCCAATCGCCATAGAAAGCTTAACCCACCATGAACGTTGTCCAAGCACCCAGCCTTCCGCTCCGGCCAGAACGACTTTGAAGTGGGGCCGAGATGAGCTGTAGTCAATTTCAACTCTATAGGCTTGGGGGAGGGGGGGCAGGGGCGTCCCCCCAGCAGAAAACGAGGAGAAAACGTGTTTTAGCCTCCTCATTGTCAAGATACCTTTCATCTTTGATATATTTCCCATAAATGATTCGGGGGAGAGAGGGGGGGGGACTCTGTCCTGACCTATTTTCCCCCCACAAAGTCCTCCTCTCGACTGCAGCCCCACCCGGGGCGCCGACAGGCATCTCTTCCCCACCTTTGCCTCCTTGCCCCCCCCCCACCCGCTTTCTAAAAACAATTACATGAAACTCTCCTTTGCAAAAACCTCTTTTAATTTCGGCCATTTCAACGCCTGGGCTGAGAATTGCAGCGGTTACGTTCGGAACGGTCAAGAGTTAGGAAATAAGTTTGGAGACGCTTTATTTGTGTCGCGCGAATTGTAGGGAAAGGGAAGGTAGGTACGTTTTTAGCCCATCCCTCCTCTTTCCTCAAAATAAAGCCTTAAAACCACTCCCCAAACTTCTCTTCTCCAAGAATCTCTAAGAGCTATCTCCCATTGTTTGTGATCACACTATAATTAGACGGAAACATATTGTAATATTTTAAATAGCGAGGGGTATATGTTACTCCTTATCAGATTTTTCATTCCTTCTTGGCTTAGACTGCAATTTGAAAGGTCAATTTGAAAGGTTAGGTTGGTCAAATAAATTGCACCAAATTGTCTTACAATAATATACCACAGACCTTTGAAATAATATTGGTTAGGAATGCTTTAATCCTATTCCATATTTATCCTTATTTTTGCATCCAAGATGGGAAAAATACTGAAGCTCATATTATCATCAGTCCTCTTCATCTGTCTTCAAACAATAAAGCACAAATGTGAGATATAAGAAGAATATTTTTATTTCACTTTAACTTTTCTTACTTATGTATGACCAGATTAACAGATATGAAGGAGGTACTGTTATTTAAAAAATGCTGAAAAAGCCATGGCACAATAGATAAAGAATACTACAGCCCCAATGATAACCTCAATTATTTGGAAGTAAGTCCATTGAAACAAAGTATCTTTTGCCTAGTAATTCTGTACCTTTAAAGATGGTAAGTTTCACATTAAGCAAAACACGAGGGCTTGTAATAGTGCAATTTTTCTTTCCAAGAGAAGGACAAGAAAATAAAATGTATAAATTAAAAATAATGCATTTAAAATCAGCAAGACATTTTTCCCAAAATAAAGCGTGTCCATACTTAAATTACCTTGTGAAACTCTGTGCCTTATTTCATTTTATTTTTCTTAGTATCTGGATGGGTTCCGAATAAAGAAATGGAAAACAAGGAAACATAAGTTTAAAAGTGGTTTGTATTCAAGTTCCCTTTATATACTTATAGGTATAGATATTAAACTGTCCTTTCTTTTCTTTGTATAACAACATGATGAGGGCATTTAAAAGCTTTCAGATGGACAGCACAATGCACTGGACTAAAAACAAGTATATCTATAAACTACTAAACATCAACACACTGCACAGCAGACATGCAGAAAGGGTATGTTTTCACATTACATTATTCATTCAAGTAACTTGAAAAATAGGGTGAGATTTTCTCCAAAACAAACCACAAGATAATAGACAGCTTTCACCAAAAGTATAATATTCTTCTTTGGTGTGTTCTGTATGCTTTAAAAAGGAAAAAGGGGGATGGGGGAATGGAATGATATCTAAAAATAAAAAAATAAATTAATTTAGCTGTACAAAATAAATCACTTCCACATAACAATTTATAACAATGACAAGACTACATATTACAATCCGGGCACATAAAAAAAACCCAAAAAACCTCCCACTCATTTCTACAAGCCCTGGGAATCATCGGTAGGCAACCAATTCCTTATTCAGTGATCTCTGAGGATAAATTAGTGCTCTTTAGAAAATCTGTAGGGTGTTTATGATGAACCAACATTTTGCATGTGAGCTGTTTTACCAACCACATCAGAATTTGTCAGTGTTCCATGACCTTTTCCCTTGAATGGCTTGGCAGCGAGGCCAAAGGTAATTTACTTTACTCCCACCCCATTCCATTTATCCATTTACGACCATTTACTTTGGTCACTGAATCATTGCATATAATTACAGGTATGAAATATGAAATCCCTTATAAAACCGTTGTATAAACAAGGATGAAAAGCTGGCTCATGTAAAAAATATTCTTTCAGAAAGAATGTGTTTCTCCAGCATCACAACTCTTTCAAAAGAAAGGTGTTGGCAAGAGGGAGAGGTTTGATCCAACCTTTCACTTTGGGTTCCATTCCCAAACATTGCTCTCTCATAAATCTAATATACTTTGATTCAGTGTGGCAAGTATATTTAGATTTGTGGTCTCAACTAAGAAATAGGCAGGGGTGGAATATTTTAAAAAAAGGAGAACTTATGAGTCCTGTTAAAATAGTTGCCTATAAATACCACGAAAGCAGTGAGAAAATTGCTTTCACGTACCTTGAATGCCTAAAATAATAATAAATAATTGCAGCATTTACACGGACACCAGCAGTATTTTATTTTTCCCCCAGTCCCAAAATTAGAACTCAGGAAAGTTTTAAAAATTAGAATTATTAAAAAAAGACACATGTAAAACTAAGGACCTAAAGATATGAAAAAACATACTGAGGTCCTGAGGGCAGCCAATCGATCAATGCAGATTACTGTATATTCTGAATATAAATATTTAGCATAAGGGAACCAATCTAGAAAATCCAGCTTTTTGTGAAATCTTTTTTAACTGGGATTATAACACTCACTCCTTCCCTCAACAATCTTTACCTGGAAGTGAGCAGCATTTAAAGCAATGGCCCAATCTTCTATGTAAGCACTCTTAGCATTAACCTTCAAGGAGCAATTATAACTAGGAATGGTGAGAGTTTCAACATTAGTGTTAGTCTGATGCAAACATCAGTTCAAGGATTATATTCATGCGCTCCATTTTGAGATCTTGAGGAAATAAAAAAAAAAATCCAAAGGCACTGAACTAAATACAGAGATTACTATTGTATGAATGCAAAATAAAAAATAAAAAATTGGCAGTTTAACAAAAGACAAATAAATCTTCCAAAGCTTGGTGGGCAAGCTTACAAAGTTGATTCCTGGCATCAAGAGCATCCATTAACTTCTACTGCATTCATAAGCCACATTTCTGGTTTTATTTTGGAAAACATTTTCCTGGGACTGTCAAACTGGCTGTGCGTAAATTGCAAATCAAGCTATGCATTGAACCTCTCCTATTATCCTTAGACTGGTAGGGGTGGGGGCAGAAAAGTAATGCGGTGTTGGGTCATTCTCGAAATCCAAATTGGTTAAAAAAAGTTTCTTTTTAATAAAATAAAAAAGAGATAAGTCCAATGACTTAAATTAATTACATATTACAAACACCATAGGGTTTCATTTAGTTAATAAATAGACCAAGTTAACAAAAATGGCACGTGTCTATGCCATTCTAGAGTTCTAATGAATAGTTCTTGACTCCGAGTTCCCGTAAGTCTCTTCCTCCTCCTCTTCCTCCTCAGAAGAGGTGTCATTACTGGATGGGGTATGGAGGTGGTTGGCCACCCCAGTGGCCTGGCAAACGTACCATTCATTGAGATTGGTGACCTGAGGAGAAAGGCTGGTTGGCTGACCCCTTCCTGAGTCCTGAAGTGGGGAAAGAGGGGCACCCAGGGTTGTCCCCACAGGCTGGTACCCGTGAGATCCTGGGGTAGGAGACGGTGGTGGGGATTTGCAGTGGATCTTCATGTGTTTTCGCAAAGAGCTGGGGTGTGTGTAGGACTTATCACAGCCTCTGACTTTGCAGAAGTATGGCTTGTCGCTGGTGTGGACATGGGAGTGTTTCTTTCTGTCACTGCTATTGGCAAACTTCCTGTCGCAGCCATCAAACTCGCATTTAAAAGGCTTCTCCCCTGAAAGACAAAAAAAACACATCTATAATAGGTCTCCTTGTGACAAGAAAGGATGAAAGCCAACCTGCTTGCATTTACATGTCAAATCAAACACTGGGATGGTGGAGTCAAGCCCTGGAGTCAAGATTTAAAGCAGCTCGTAAAACAAGAGCCAAAAAAATAATAATGGAACATTATATTGCCATTTCTCCCTCTTCATCCTTTCTCATCCCCCTCCCCCACCCTGCTGCCATGTGCACACTTTTTCAGCACTTTCACCACCATCACCTCTTAGTAATAAATTCAGCACGTCAAGATTTAGATTTGCTCCAAAGCGCAA